CGGCACTCGTAGGTGCCTTCATCTGTGGGCTTCACCCGGGAAAGGCGCAGCTTGTGGGAGATGTTACTGCCCACCACCTTGACCACCTGGGGGTGACAGAGAGACCGTTACAGGGCCCGATACCCTGTCAATAATAATTGATAATAGTAATAATAGTACTACTACTAATAATGAAAGTTTGTTTAATGAATGGACTCACTATAGTTCCTTCTTTCTCCAAATGAAGTGGTAGCCAAAGATCGTGCTTTCTAAGTTTAGGTCACGTACACATGATTATACCCACTTTATATAGATGGTGAAACTAAGGCCCCCGAAGGAGCAGTGACTTTCCTTCCCATGGGCACTGAGTCAGTGAGTGGCAGAGCTAGGAACTCAACCCAGGCCTGACTTCGTGCACTCTAACCTTCCAAATGGTGTGACAGGCCCACAGAGGGTCGCCCAGAGCTGGCAGGGTCACGGGGTGGAGGGATTCCCAGCCTCCAGAAGGGAAGAGGGTGAGTGGGTAGCAGCAGGGAGCCTGGCCCACCCTCTCTTATTCTGAGCCTTTCCAGCTGGTCACCATCCCCCACAGAGCAGGAAAACATGGTACAGCAGGAGGCCCACGGTGGGACAGAGGCAGAACTACCTTCTAGCAAGCGGAAGGCAACCTCTCCAGCAGCCCCTCCTGGTTTGGGGGCCAGGTGGCCCCTCCCAGCGCTGAGGACTGGGCCCAGCTGGAGGCCGTCAGCCCTGCAGATTCGATCACCTCTGACCAAGGGCACGGAGAGGTCCTGTGGCCCTGCCTCGCTCTCAGGGAGTTAGGGGATGATGTTGCAAATGCGCAGCGGGGAGCGAATTACCTCAACATCTGTTTCCCTCACGGATATTAATTATCCTTCATTTGTCAACCCTACAAGGCGCTAATGGAGTAATAATGTGAAGCGCTGGGAGCAGCCGCTCCTAGGGAGGGCGCGTCAAGCGCGGCCCACCCCCCTGCCCACCCTCCCTCACCCCCAGACAGGATGCTAAGGCTCCCCACCACACCAACGCCCTTCTGACAGCAAACACGTATGGACTTCAGAAGTACAGCTGTCCCCCCCAGAGAGGAGGAGGGGGATGGGGAGCACAGCAAGAACGGCTGGAGGCTGGGTTCTGGCCCTGACAAGTCACCGGCACCCTGGCCTCCGTGTTCTTGGGCGAGATCATCAATTTATTCGACACACGTTTAGCAAGCACCCACTCTGAGGAGGGGGTACTGGAGACACATCTGTAAACCAGCCTGGCCTCAGCAATGCCTGCATGGGCTCATGGGCTCCCCGCCCCAGTGGTCTGTGCCTTTAAGCACTATCTGGGGAAAGCAATGAATAAAAATAACAACAGTAATAGTAGTGCTGGTAGGAGTGTTTATGGAGTGCTTGAGCACTGTGAGATGATGTGCTAAAAGCTTCCTACATCTTATTTACACCTTGAAATAACCCCGTGATGTAGGCACTGCTAGGATACCCATTGTATGGGTCAGGAAACTGAGGCTCAGAGAGGCGAACTGATTTGCTCAAGGCCCCCAGCTGGTGACAGAAACTAGGTCTTACACACATCTTTGGGAAGCCTCCCATGACCAGGAAACCTCAGGTCTGTCTTTCCACCCCCTCCCACCTCATCCCCCAAACCCCCAATTCTCCACACTTTAGGGAAGCCCCGCCCCTCTCAGAGACATAGCCTGTGGGAGAGCGCCCATCATCCTGCTCCAGCTTCTTGGGGGTGGTAGAAGCAGCCTGTTGGGTTTCACCATTCACAAATTGGGCAGATACTTCTGCAGCCCAGACCGCCAATTCAACTGATGAGGCCAGGAGGAGAAGAGACCCCCACAGGGCAGCCTGGCTGTAAATCATAATCACCTCTGCACAGGCATCGACAGGCCCTAGTGGTACAATTAAGCACCTAATTACGCTGAAAGAAACAAGGCAAGTCCACACCAGGCCCAAGCTCATCCTCCACCCTGCCCATCCAGGCCTTTCCAGGCTCAGCAGGGGCCCCCCTGGGTCACCAGGTGGACAGGCTGGGATCTTTCTCCTGAGCTGTGCCAGGAAGAATGGGCGGCACCAATTTGCATCTCTGCTGCCAGACCTTTCCTACATGTGGCCTTACGGCTGAGGCCTAAGAGTGACGTGGGAGCCCCGGGGAGATGCTGGAGTGAGGAATAAGGGTCAGATGGTCCCTGCCCCAGGCTGGGCCCTGCTCTGAGCTCTGCCACTCCCATGCCTCCATCAGCAACACCCAGCCACTCCAACCAGCCTGTCGGCAAGTTCAGAGCCACGGAGCCTCGCTCACTCCCGCCATACCCTTCCAAGTCATCATCCCTGTTGCTACTTCCACACACGGGCACAATCTATCTCCGAATCCCACTGATATTCCCTCTAAACACCACTGGGCCCTTATCCTTCTTTCCAGAATCCAGGTGCCCCTGCACTGGCCAGAGCAAGGTTCTGGCTTCCTGTCATCACGCCAGCCTCCTTCCGGATCTCCCCAAGCCACTCCGGCCCCTTCCCAACTGTTCTCTCATGACAGCCAGGCAGATCTTTTCCAAATGCCCCCAACTTTGAACCCTTCCTTCTACTGCTCCCCGAAGTAGCTGCCAGTGGGGGGCACTTTGGGGTCTCTTCCTCGCCTCCCTCTGCTACACCAGCACTTCACCAGTTCCCATAACACACATACCTAGAGAAGTTCCCCTACTGCTAGTCAATTCATCTATACTTTAGTTCTCACCTCAAATAGCACTTCCTCCAGGAAGCCCTTCCAGACCGCCCCCCTCCCCCGCCACCCCAGGCTAGGTCAAGTCCTCTGTATGGGCTCAGACTCCCAGGCAGCAATCCTCATTTCGATGGCCACCACTGTCATTTGACTTCTTATCATGTGTGATTATTAGGTTAACATCCATCTCCCACACTAACTGGGAGGACCCTGAGGGCAGGGACTAGGTGTGTGTGACCATGGACATCATAGAGGCATCTTCATGGTCCCCTGACCACAGGCCAGCTGCTCAATGGATGTTTTAAAGGGATTCCCAGGATGGATGATTTTGACTCTGCATGAGTCTCACCTCCCCCTTGCAGACTTCAGAACTTAATGCCCTATGTATGTTGTGAATTACTGCAGGAATTTCAAGAGAAGATAGAACTGTCTACAGCAAAAAATAAAATCATAAGAAACCCTGACCCACGGCTTGGCCTGCTAATCCTTTGGGAAGGCTGCAGACCTCGTATGCTGCCAGTGGTCCCACCCTCACCCCCACCCATTTGGTATCCGCATGTGCACCACACATGGGGGGCAGCCAGGAGGGGTAGGAGGGATTTGGCCTGCAGGGCCACCAGGTTGAATCTGACAATTCGGCTGCCTTTGATTCAGGAAGTAGGGGCATGGCGGGGGAGGGGTGCCGAGTATGCTTCTGGAGGCCTCTGTGGCTGCACTTGGTTTTTAGGGGCTTGGCTGGAAAGGGGAGGCCGGGGCAGGGTGAGCGGGCCAGAGCACTGGGCCACATGTGCACCAGGGCCCAGCCTGCGCATGGCTCTCTCAGACTGAAGCCGGTTACAGGAACTGAATCCATAGCACAAACAACTTCTGTGAGACCAAAGGAGGGACTAACGGTGATGAAGGCAGGTGAGCCCCCTAGGTGAGAACGTGTGTGTTCGGAGAACTTCACCTTGTCTTAAAATTAGGAAGTTGGGGACCATCTCTACTCACAAAACCGGCGATGGGGAAATTAACCTAAATTCTAAAACAAAGAACTTCAGAGAGAAGAAAAGAAAAACTTCCAGAAGTTGAAAATGGGCATGACGCAGAAGAATTTTCCTGAGCTACTTAGAAGGGGGCCCTGATGGTGGACTCGTCAGCCTATCCAAGCTACCAACAGAGGTGTTTTTAAGGCCACGGGTCCTTCCCCAGGCCCCAAGTTAAATGAAATAATTCATGTAAAGTGTTTATCATGGTTCTTCACATATAGCAGGCACTCAATAAATGTTAGCTGCTGCTTCTTCTTCTTCTTCTTTTTATTATTATTATTATTCATTTTATCACAGATGTGCCTGTCCTCTCACATAAACAATCTCCCTACAATATTATTCTGAGCTCTCCCCCTCCACCTTCCTGCAGAGAAGGGGCCCTCCTTTCCAGCTCCCCTGCATGCTGGGAATAGGAAGGAGTCTTGCGATTTGCAAATTCGTGTTAAGTTTCCACCCTAGTAACCACGGTCATTCACGTGGCCGAATCCATAGGATGGTACAGTTTCCACAGCGTTTCTATGTAGGCATTAGACAACAGTGAGTGGGGACGGGGAGGCACAGGGAGGTGGCAGAGCAGGAGCGAGGTCTCAGCCCCTGGGACACTCAGGGCTGGACCCTGTGTGTCCTCACAGTCCCAGCCTCAGGGCTCAGCACGGCCTCTCTGAACCCTCCCAGGGTTACCATGGCAGCCCCCACAGGCTGCAGAGCCCATCCCGGAGCCCTGCTCCCACCAAGCTGCCGGAAGTTGACTGTCCTTCCTCCCCCAGGACCCCAACACTGTCCAGCAGGTAGACTGCACTGTTTGGCTCTCACATGTTTTCCAAAAATCAAATTAGGTCCCAACAGTTAAAAATCAGGAAATGTTCCATCAAAATTGAGATTTTTAGGAGACACCAGGCTATTGGGCCGGAATTTCTGCCTGGCTTAGTCAGCACCTGCAGAACAGGGCCTGGATCCCACACAAGCCCCTTTTGCTCCTTCGTGTCCATGTACAAGCACGGGAAGCACGTCACGTTGGCGTGTCTGTGTATCAACATCAGTCTGGGTTTACACCCCCATTGGCCTGGGCATGCGTGTGTGTGTGTGTGTCAGTCATTTGATACTTTTTTATTGGGCACCTACTACATGCCAGGCGCTGTGCTAGGCTCTGAAAAAATGTAACAGTGAATCAGGCAGGCACAGGTCCAGCCCCCTCTGTCTCCAGGAGGACAGACATGAAACGAATAGCCACAGGAATGGATAATTAGTGACAGCAATGCAGCCAGCAGGGAAAAAAGTATGGGTGCCGGTTGAGGCACAGAATCAAGGGAGGCTCCTGAGCTCAGCACTAAAGAAAGAGAGAGGAACAGTTTTCTAGGCAGAGGGACTGGCCTGTGCGAAGGTGGAAAGGCAGCCAGGGGTGGGAGGGGAAGGCGAGCCAGGTCCAGCAGGATGAGACAACCCAGAGGGTGAGCAGAGAGGGCAGAGCCTTGAAGGTGACAGAGAAAAGTGTGAGCTTCTCCTAGACTGCAGGAAACCACGGTGACCATCTGTTTACAGGTGTCGGCCAACTCTGCGCCTGTGTATTTAAGAACAGTCATGGGTGTGACGCTGTCTGTAGGAGGAGCTGGGTCTGTGACTGCCTGTGAGTTCCCTAACCAGACCCCGGGAGCCCCAGATGGTGCAAGAGTCTCAGGGGCTGAGGGTGGGGGAGTGATTGCACAATCACACTGAGCACATTTATTTTATTTAACTAATTAGTATCTTTGCATTCCCCTCACGTGGGGCCCAGCAGCCTCGAATTCTAATCCTCTAAATCAATTAGATTATTCTCTCCTTTGCCTGAGATGCTCCTTAAACCCCAAACAAAATCACAGGAGAGAGAGTTGCGATGAACAGGGTGTATATGCACAGAGCTCTCTACCTGCCTGGGCTTACCTGGTGGGTGTTCGGGCAAGAAACGGGGCATTACATATGGGCAGAGGGGATGAAGGTGAGGGGGCAGGGGTGGAAAGCGGGTGGGCCCACTCAGATTTCCAGACCCCAACTCCCACAGGGCCTGAGCCAGACAGCACAAATGGTGAACGCCCTGTTCTCTCGTCTGCCGGCCTCTTGCCTGAGGGTCTGCGGGATCCTCCTCCCAGGCCTCCTTGCCGCCACTCTGCCGTCGCCAATGCCTGGCCCAGCACCCCCACGCCTCCCAGGGCCCACTCTACACTGTGACTTCCGCTGTGGCACTTCGGAGCTCCCCAAGTCCTTGAAAAGTTGTGGAAGCAGCAGCAGAAAAGTGAACTTGGAGGCCACTCCACACACATTCATACCCCTGCAGGCACCTGAATTTTCTGAGTGTGATGCTGGTGGGCTTCTAGCTTCCTGCCGGGCTGACCTCATGCCTCATGCACAAATCCCAGCCTGGTCCCACGGCCACACCGTATCCCCAGGCCAGTCCCTTTCGCCTCCTTTCTCAATCCCGCCTGCCTCTTTCAGGCCCCTCTTTGGATGTCCCTCCTTTACAAAAACTCACTCCCTGAGCTCCTTGGGTCCCCTACCTCACTGGGCTCCAGGTGAGCCTAGCGACAGAGCTTGAGGTCATCTCAGCCACATCATGATACCAAGTCTTTGTCTCCTCTAAGCCTCAGCTGCCCCACCTATCAAATGGGTGAATGATTGCCCTTCTCTAAAGAGGTGAAGCAATGATAAAATGTGTCAACGCGCAAGAAGTTCCCAGCCAGTCCTAAAATCCTGCTGCTATAGTTCCCCTACCCGCCTCACACCTGGGAGCAAGATGACCCAAGTGACCAGTGAGAGGCTGCAGCTGTCAGTCGTGATGGGCTGAAAAAAAGCCAGTTCAGTCTCATTAGACCCTGTTGGTTCCCCAAATAACAAATGCTGCTGAGACAGGCAGAAGCATCAGGGACGCACACAGCCTTGGCTCCCGACAGGAGAGAATGCGTCTTCTCTCCCCTTGTCATTTTTTGTGCCTGTCATTCAATGAACTTGAAAAATCTCTGGATTTTAAAAAACAGAGCAGAGCCATTTTTTTTTCTCCTTTCTTTTTTTCATCTCCTCCATCTTCTTGCCCAAGCTCCCTGCTGAACTGGAGTCCCCCCCCCAAAAAAAATTTTTTTTTTAAATTACAGCTGTCTCCTCCATTAGAGCCCTTGTGAGAAGTCATTATCAAAACTCACACTTATTTTGGTCGCGTCCTTTCCTGGGTCTTCCTGCTGAGATGCTTTTAGCTGTTGGGAGTGGGAGGGGCGGAGAAAACAGAGAAAAGGCGTTAGCATCCCCAGGTGGGGTTACAGACAACAGCTAAGATTCTAGCTACAGCAGATGACGCTAGGAGGGCCCCCAGGGTCTGGAACTGGGGGTCCTTCAGCTCTGTGTCCTCTTAGGGGGTGGGGGTGAGTCGCAGCAAAAGAAGATAAAGAAGCTGCCTGTAAAACTGTGTGTATGCTACGTAGGTATGTAGATATGTGAGTATTTGGGGATCTCCAGGGTGGGTATGTGTGAACAGGCAAAAATGTGAGTGTTTGGTGTGTGTGTGTATCTTGTGTGTATCTGTGAATGTGTTGTATTTTCAGGTGTCACACGCATGAGTATTTGTAGCAGATACTGTCGGAGTCCTGCCCGCATGCTATTCCCTGCAAGCTGACCCCGGAGGCACCCAACTTCAAAGACCGGCAACTCTGCCTAAGGACTTTCTCTGACCTCTGGAGTCCTCTAAGCCTATGTGCTGGGGAGTGGACACTTGTAGCAGCAAGACAGAACATGTGAGAGGCTATCTCCTGAACATGGGAGAATGTGTGAGCATGCCCATATATGCACATGAAAGTGTGTAAATATGTATGTGTTCATATATAAATGGGTGGACACATATGCATGTGTTTGCATATTATTTGTGCACACACAAGTGTGATAATGAAAGTGTCTTAGTTTGGGTTCCCTTAGAAGCAGACCCTGAGACAAAGATTCAAGTGCAAGTAGTTTATCTGGGAGGCGATCCCAGGGAACATGAATAGAGGAGTGTGTGAATGAGACAAAAAAGGGAAGAAAGTCAATAATGGCTGCGTGATCAAGTCAGTGACCACTGTGGGCAACTGGAACTTCCTCCCGCCGGGCACCCTGGGGAAGGGAGCTGGAGGATTTATCCGTCATCGGTAGGGTGCTCCACCAGCCTGTCCTGCTGGCCAGCAGGCTCTGTTGTCCACAGAAAACCCTCGGGCAGTCACAGGGGTTGGCAGTTGGCAGTGGGGCTGGGAGCAGGGGACGGTGTGTGCTCCGGCGAGTGGGCGGGGACACCCACAGCACCTGCTCCAGCGGTGTGTACGTATGAGCATGTCCACGTGTAGAGGCAAATGCGTGTGCCGTGACCGGGTTGCAGAAGTGTGCCTGCACATGTGTGGAAGGGTATGCATGCATGTGTGCCCGTAGCTGAGCTCGGCAACAATGCTGTCCCATGTCTGCAGCTTGGAGAAGTGAGGGAAGGTGAGTCGGGAGACAGCTTGACCTGCAGCCAGCTTCTGGCCCTCTGGCCTCAGTTTCCCCACCCGTGCCTGGAAGGATGGGCCTCTGTGCTCTTTGCAGAGCCCTTTTTACTGGGCCCATCCCAAGTGCTCAGCCTAGCTCTGCCTCCTGCCCTGAAAACAAGCCTCCATTTCAGGAAGAAGGGAGGGAAACAGCTGGGTGCTGCAGAGGATACACGCAGCTGGACCTTATGGCCCTCAGAAGAGATGCGGAGCAGAGACACGCCCCTACCCAAGGGACCAGGGTCCTCCCAGCCCACCTTGGAGTCTCCCCAGGGTTGGTACCTGGTTTGAGGCCCACGCCTGCTTGTCGGTCCAGTCCCTGTGGCTCCGCACGTACCACCACTGGATCTCCAGCGAGTAGGAGGGGGAGCCACTGCCACGGAAGGAGCAGGCCATCTCCACGTCCTCGCCTGTCCGCGCCGTCATGTCATGGGGTGTCTCCGTGAACAGAGCTGTGCGAAGAAATACGGGGGAGGAATGGCTGGGTCTCAGGAAACGGCAGGGCCGGCGGGCACAGGGCTGGTGGGTGGGGGGAGAGGTAGAGAGAGTGGGAGCGGCCAGGCCTGCAGGTGGGAATGGCCTGGCTTCAGGTGGGGGACAGAGGGGTGTGCAGCGCAGCTGGCAAGACACGGGGCTGAAGGAACAGGTGCAGGGCCCTGAATGCCCCGCTTGAACTGGGCCTCTATCCCACAGCCCGTGGGCGCTATAGGAGACGCGCGTCGGGGAGTGATGGATCAGAGGAGGGCGGGGTTGCGAGGTATGAGCCAGGAGGCCAGAGGCCAGGAAGGAAGCTGCCATTCTCATCAATTTTTCTAGATTCCTCCAGTGGCTTCCGCCTGATTCCCTCCAGGGCGTTTCCAACCCCAGGACACGGCAGCCAGGGCTGTTTTTGTAAAAGCAAATCAGACCTGGCCCCCTCTGCTCAGAACCCTCCGCTGGCTCCCCGTTGCTCTGAGAAAGCCCACCAGGTTGGGGGGATCAGGCCCCGCCTACCTCCTGGACTCCTCTCTGTCCTGTGAACATGTCTCCTTGCACCTCACTCCTGCCCTGACTGTTCCCAGTGCCTAGAATGCTGTTCCCTTGGCCCCTCGTCACCCGGGAAGTCACTCGAAGCTCAGCTCAAAGACAGCCCCTCAGAGAGGCCAGCCCTGACCACAGGACCCTGCACAGGTGCCCCCCACCCCTACCTCCCGCCCACCCTAGTCACAGTCATATATCTGTTCGCTGCATGTTTCACCGTCGAAACTCCATGAGAACAGGGACCCAGAGCTCCCCACGGCTACATGGTTCTTGACACCTAACAGGTAGGTAGATGGTCCATGTGTGCCGAACAGGAAAGACACTCTCCCTCCTCTCAGGGCCCCAGAGGGCAAGGGGAGTCCCACCTGCCTCCCATTCTCTGCAGGGCCCAGCGTCCCCCTCAAATCCCAGGATGAGCGGTTCCCTGGCCCAGCAGGAGCCCCCTCCAACCCCCCACCCCTGCCACACTGCCAGATAAAGGAGAAAACACCCCCCCACGTTACACGGCCCGCCGCCCCTCCCCACCATATGTTCTGTCTCTCGTCTCCCCAAACAAATATTGTCCTGAGATGTAATTAAAATGTGTCCCTCTTCTCGGGAGAGATGCTCTCGCCCTGAAAAGATGCCTGGCAGTGTGCACCGTCACCCAGGAATGCCGCATCTGTCAGTACCCCGGGCCCGAGTCCCGCCTTGCTGCTGCAGCCTGCAAGGTGCCCCACCCAGCGAGGCAGAAAGATGGGTGGAAGGAAGAACAGAGGCCGGCTTCCTTGGGTGGGGGCTCCACCAGGGTGACCTGGAGAGGGACGGGGCCTCCATCCACCCTCACTCAGTCTCCCCCTGACCTCAGGCCACCCCACCCCCCAAACTGACTGAAAACTCTGACCTTGGCCCACCAGCTCTTTTTGCTGAGGCAGAAAGCAAGACTCAGAGAGGGCAGTGTATGGCTTGGGGCTGCTCAGCTGCCAGGGGTCAGCAAGATCAGACCCCAGGCCCTGAGTCCTTGGCCAAGCCCTCCACCCCCAAAGAGCTTTGTGGGGGACCCCACCACACAGCCACCCCTCTCCCCAAGTCCCAGTAATGGT